GAATGATTATTTTGTTTGGGCAAATGATGCAAATTTTGGAGTTTTATAGAGCTTTTTGTTGACTTAAATGTGGAGTATGGCTAATTTGTTTCTTATACATTTATTTTGTGCGTAAAAAAAAAATTCAACAATGGTTAGACTATGTCGAGCTTGATAGGATTGTCCATGATACAAAAATATTTTCTCACACTCTTTACACTTTATATGTAATAGTATAATTTTTAGTAAAGCAATAAGGACAAAAACTAAAGCACTTAAAATATTATGTCTGCTAATAAAAAGGCATGTGATCAATTCATTAATCTTTAAAAGTCAGTTTGTGACATCTTGAGCCTAAGCACCACTACCCAATAAATTTTTGAACTCAAAATAGTTGCTTTCAAAAGTTTAAAGTCAAGTTATTAGTAGTATTTCATTTGAACTGTTATATGAAGTTTAATAATCATGTATCTTTCTTATGTAAGATTGAGTTATTACAATTTTCACCACTCAAGTCCATGATGTTCTCATTAAGGTCATACATCACACAGTCACATATTACAATCTAATTTTAATCACAACGTCCAAAATTATATTAATTAAAGTCACTTAAAAACACGTGTTCGAATACTATTCATAATGCTCACGACCCAAACATTACTAACCAACTATCTTTTAGACTGAAATGACTTACTTTTAAAAGTTTTAACTCAAGTTATTGGTAATATGAACTCTTTGAAATTCAATAGTCACATATTTTTCTAAGATATAATTGAGTTATCACATTATTGATTTTTTCAATAGTAAGTAATAATTTTTGTTAATTATTAATATGCTTGAAACTCCAATGTCATTATCTGTGAAAATTGTTATTATATACTTTAATTTGTGATAAATTTAGAGATCGTCTCTACTGTGAAAAAGTATTAGGTTAGTTGTCGAAGGAGATGCTCGATTTTTAGATTTTTTTTTTTTAAGAAAAAGAATGTATTGGTTACGAAAGTAACATATATTCATAATAATTTTATTTGTTTAGATGAGACAAGACAACTCTATTTCTTTCTCCTCTTCCTCGCATTTCATTATATAAGTTCATTACACCCATCTAAACTAATGAAAACATTAAAAGAAAATTACTTTGCTGCTGCTTTGAATTTTAGACCATTATGCAGCTGTCTTATTCAACTTTTGCTTTTTCTCATAGATTTCATAGTAATTCTATTAGTTTTTTTCTTGGAAGTTGGCTTTTGAAAGAAAAGGTTGAAACATATCTTTATTGCTTTCAAACCTCTATTACTTTCATTTTTATTTTCGTTCTCTATTTTGGTCATTATTTTTAGTCCTTAAACTATTTTTATATCTAAATACATATTATATATAAACAATAAAATTTCTTTTCAACTGTCCCCCGCTTCATATATATAAAGACAAACCATCTTCCAAATGACCGCTAGAAATTTTGTGTTGAATTTGGGTATCTGATTCATGCAATGAGACAAAAAGTTTCTGCTCAGAGAGATCAAATCATAACAATCCAAACTACGACTCTGTATTGTATATACCCTTATAAGTCAGCCTGCAAATGTGAGATATAGATATGCTGCATAAATAACTCCAACAATGTCTATCCAAGGAAGTTCATGATCACTAAGTGAAGCACCAAGTTGCAGAGAACAAAATCTGCAAACGCTCGCTCTGGTGGTAAATCCTGCAATTTTTAGAATAGTTATACTCTACTATCAAATGAAGAACATTAAGCTAAGGAAATGCATATACGTTAGCACTTTCAATTGTACTGATCTCCCTCAATCACAAGTTTCAACCCAATCGAATATTTCCCACCAACTACCTTCCCTTTCTTTTTTTTTTTTCTTTTATTTCATAAAGGAGGTTTGGCTAACCAAAGGTGATGGATAGTTGGGAGTCCCACAAGAAACGGATATTCAGAAATCCTCTCCACATTGAAATAAAGCAACAGAAATGAGGAATACTAAAATTGCTCAAATAATGTGGGAAATAACTGTAGGATAATGATCAATACTGCCATTTAGCAATGCATCATGCCTCTAATTGGCACAAAATGATAGGGCCTTATGGGAAGAATAATTGCAACCCCATGGTGGTAAAATAGTTCAAAACTCTTTATTCTCCACCACCTGGGCAATAAGTAATGATATATCTCAAGTAAATAAATGTAAATTTACCTTAAATTCCTTGTTCTCTTTGTTCACTTGAATACGAAGGCAAACTGCAACCAGAAAGATTGAATAAGTTGCAATAAGAACACTTTATTAGGCTTCCACCCTGCAAATGGTTAAATTCCACTTACCAGCAAGTACTGCAGTGCCTACACAAGAGAGTACTCCTGAGAGAAAGGAATTGAAGGGGAAAGATCCAACAATAGCCATGTATACTACCTGTTGACCAGCATAATAAGTGATGTGGCAAAGAAAATTAGAAACCAGCAACAGAGATCAAACATATAAAAAATTACTAGAAAATGAATGATAAATGATATATCATAAATGACAGAATCACAGAGAAGATATCAATATGTAGTGTCAAAATCACTCTTGCTCCAGTTAAAATCAACAATGGTTTAATAACTTGATCTTCCTTCAGAAAGAAGTTGAAATTAAATGAAAAGGCAAACTTCACAGAATGGCTTGCAAGATTCCTATACCTGATTTGATTTTTTTCGATAACAAATCCATGGCTATATTATGAAAGACAGTTTAAGTAGCTCACTGATCAAAGACCAAATGTATTTAAAAAACAAGTAATGCAAACTAGAGAGGTTCTAGAATATACATGTTTCAAGAGCCAAAAAAACTTGTCATTACAATATTTTTGCAGTATTAAGGCTCTATATGAACTTTATAATTAACAGCAGTTATATAAAGTACTGTCTAAGTTTCCAGCTTTCTGAATTCATCCGTGCCATGTGGATTTTTTTTTTTTTTCTTTTTTGCATTCTTTTTCTTTTAACAAACGGCTAAAATAAAATAAGGTAAAGGAGAAAAACCTGCCCTATACAACCTAAGCAAAATGTGCCCTAAGTAACCTAAACATCTACTCTTCTTCAGTTCTCTTTGTATCTGCTTTCATTCTCCAAAAGCAGCTCACAGTTTCCAGCAAATAGAGGCTGAAAGTTTCAGGCTTTCTTGGCCACTGAGGAAAATGTGACACCCACTGATGAATCTTATGAGTTCTCTGCAGTGCAACTTGATCTCATTATGGAAGAAATTGAAGAAGATATGCACAAGGCTGACTCTAATTCGGCACCACCCTAAGCTACTCGTGATATTCTCCTACTTCTCTTCTTGGTCATTTTCTTTAGTTTTTCATTTTTTTCTTCTTAGTTCTTGCTCATCAAGAATCAGGATAGTTGAGAGATTTCATCTAATTATTTTAATGGATTTTAGGGTTTGCTATTTTTATTTTTGCTTTGTTGGCCTTATTTTTTGAAATAAAAGAAGAGAAGATGTATTAATGTGAGGAGCTAAGGGAGCACCACCCATTTACAAAAAATTTACACGTCAATTAGTATATCTACAATAGAACCTAGATTTTCAAAACATTCTACATTATGCCCTAAATCAGTAGAGCCAAAATAATGAAACCATTTATCTTTGATGCTATTAAAATCTTGTTTAAGCCCCTCAAAAGCCCTGCTGTTTCTCTCCTTCTAAATAACCCAGAAAATGGTAAGAGGGATTAATCTAAGCGCTTTGTTACTACTCAGACTTTCTCATGCCAGAAGTTTAGAATAAACAGAATCTGCCATTACCCAAGAGATCTCCAGAAGTCCGAGTATCATGTTCCAGAGTTTGTAAGATGTTTGATATTTCAATAGTAGATGATTACATGAGTAATTGAAAGATTTCAGTTCACTTCCTCCTCTTTTATCCACATTTTCCTCAGTGGCGAATAGAGTCTGATGCTGGTGAAAATCAATTCAAGAAACCTCAATTGTATTCTCGTTGCTTGGATCTCAGCCGATTGGAAAGAAAGAGAAGCTGCAGCGTAGTATGTTGGATGTGCAGGCTAAAGTTGGCTTCTTGTTTCACCTACTTGATTTTGCCGGTGCATCCCTTATGGAATGCCTCTTCTAACATGGAAGGTCTGCCCGTTTTGTGTTGATATTTCATGTCTTTCTAAGTTAGCTTAAACAAAAAAGACTGTGCAGTCATGTGTCAATATTTCTGGTACTAATTATACTTCTCACATTTTTTTGTTGGATAATTAATATTCTGTCTATCATAATTTTAATAAAGAAGCTTCAAAGAATAAATAAAATAATTTTTAGCAATCCATGACATGCTAAAAACAAGGACCCAACCGCTCTTACAAGTGCCAGAAAGCTCTCTCACAAATTAGCACCAGTTTTTTGGAGAACTGCTGTAAAACTACCCTTCATGGCAGTTTGAAAATCCCTGCCTTCCTTTTTTTTTTTTACTGATGGCATCAAGGATGATGGTTATGAAAACAACCACCATGCTGTTAGCAGCAGGAAAAACTGCTGCCAGAGCCCCTAAAAGCTGCTGCCATCATCCTGAATGGGATTGCCTGGGCTTTGCCAACTGCCGCCTGATGGTTGCTCTCTCTTTATCCACTGCTGAGATGCATATCCATGTCTCCTTATACACTACAATTAGACCTATTTTTCCAAGTTTGCCATGAGATGCATCAGAATTGATTTTGAAAAACTCCCCTGGTGTTGACTACAATCGCAATGCTGGTGCAATGCCAAGAAAAAAGACTAGGACAGGGTCCAAATTGAAGAACTAATGAATGAAGCCCAATTGCTGTTTGTGGGCCAAATTCAGGTACCACCATACATGCACTGTTGGTCTTTCAAATCAAGTCCAAATTCAAGAATATAGCGTCCACGGAAATATTTGGAGGTCTCGTTTCAAAGGCAACAAAATGTTACTAATTTGGAATTCTCTAGAGACAGTTTTGACTGAATTAAGTAATGGTACTCAAACTGTCCAATTTTCAAGACAATCTCTTATAATCACTAAAGTAACAGCATGAACGAGAATAAGGACTTGATTATTATACTTTCCTGTGCTCGCAGGGTTGTTCCAGGGCATCTTTATCTATGTTTTATACTAGTAAGAGTTCAGATTCAATCTGAACATGAATTTCATTGAACAGCCTTGGTGCTTTCTTCTCAAGCAAGTTTTATATATTTTTGGTTGATTCCATTGAGTGATGAACTTTCTTATCATTTACACCTCTTTGGTAGATTCCATTGAGTGGTGAACGCACTTATCCTTAATTTTCTAAAATTTTGTGATTTCTTATGGTGGTGGCTTATCAAATTCTTGTTAATATACCAATTCTATTTTCTGGAAAAACGTTCAATTTTGGAAGGTCATTCTTTATATAAAATTGTTTCAGGTGATTTTTTATATAAAATTGGTTCAAATATTGAATGCTCTTTTGTCAAGTTTCACATCAATCCAAGCTCTCAGTGTGAGTTGTGAGCAGATTTGTGCCATATGTTTGCTTTACCCGAGTTGAAAAAAATAACTTCTTGTTTGTGATTTCCCTTAATTTCTCACCTATATAGCTTGTGGCCATAATCATTTTGGTTAAGAAAGGAGAAAGGAAGCTGAGACTCACATAACAGTAAGGATGCTTTTGTTATCAGTACCTAGATCGGGATGTGGGAGTCCTGGAAACTAATTGCTCCAAAACCCACCATATAAGCCAAGTTATTGTCATTGCCAGGCAAAGGACTACTTCGTTAAGTCCTGCAAAAAAAGACATGAACCAGTGGTGAAAGGGCAATGAAGGTTGATCTGTGTCAGAGACTCGACGGGGCATGCTCTCTAAAGTAGACTTGCATACTGGCAATGCCTGGATGCACATTCAATATTCTCTTCCAGGTTTTGTCGAACCTAGAATTTTTTTGATAGATTAGCTCTTTTCAAGAGTGTACTATTAAGAGACCTCGAAATAGAATGAGCAATCTTCAGGCTTCTATGTGGTTTTCGATTGCCTGTGTGTTGTCTGTGATGATGAGTCTGCTTGACCCACCACTTCTTCCAAATATTCCATTCGCATGCCATGCAGTAGCCTAAATTTACTATATAATCCACATTCTCTGCAATTGAATGATGCTTTCTAACTAAATGGAATTAGAGCTTTGTGGAGGAGGGTTATAGTGGCGAGACATGCGCCAGATGTTAGTGGTTAGAAGACAAAACACTACTGAAGATTAGGAGATTGATGGCTGGATCTCTTTTCTTGCACTGCTCAGGTAAGCTATCATTAATCTTTCTGAGTCATTTTCCCCTTTTCGAAGATCTTTAAAGTGAGATATAGTCATAGGCATGAGGACCAAATTTTGGACAGGTACCTTCGGAAACAAGTGCGGAAAACCAAAGCCTTTCCTGCACAGCTTTCCTTGCTTGGAGAGGCAACTTGGGGCTGAATTTTAACGTTAGGAAAACTTATGAAAAGGGGATGGCCTTTGGCAAATAGATGTTTCCTCTACTTGAAGGAGGTGGAATCCCCTAATCATCTTCTTCTTTAATGTTCAGTACCCAGAAGATTAAGGGATTCAACATTTTCTCTTCTTAATCTGCAGTTGGTAGTCAATGATTCTATCAAAGATGAGTTGTGGGGTGTGGAGCAGTATTGCGGCATACCTAAGTCCAAGAAGAAGATCATTTCCATTATTCCTCTTTCAATTTTTTGGTTTACTTGGAAAGAGTTAAACAGGAGATCTTTTGACAACTAATCATCCCCCCCCCCCTTTCAGGAGGTTAGAGATCATTAGCAAATACTTTACTCTCGGATGGAGTATTAGAACGGAAAAATCCATTAGATAATGAACTATTGGTTCTAAGCCATCTCTGGCGATGAATCAACAATTCGAAGTGCTTTTCTTGCGTATTCTTGATAAACCAGCGTTTATATATAGATGTAGGAGGATCCGTTTGGGAAGTAAGAAGCCCCTTTGACATCTCTTCATCTGCAAAGAATTCTCGATGTGAAAACACAGAGACAAATGGCTGATCTTTGAATAGGAAAAAGAGTGGATCCGCAGGGTCCCAAATGAATTGGCTTATTCGAAAAAAGCCTTGTTCTTTGGAAGATCTATCTTGTGTCTTTTTGCTTAAAGGTCACCACAACTATAATGAGTTGGATATGTTGGGTCTCTTGGATCTTCTTTCCTTTAAGAGTTTGTAATTCTGTATATTCTGGATTCTTGCTACTCTATGGGTTTGCATCCCTTTTGTGTCTTTGTATCATCTTTGTCTCTAAAAAAAAAAAGAAAAAGTAGTCTCCCCACTCTTTCCAAAAATCCTGAACAACCTACCTGTAGAAAATATAATAATTAGAAAAATAAATTAGGATTAAAAATGGTTATTTACAACTGTTATGTGCTGTAAATGGACGAAATCACCAACAAATTTGTTGCAATAAATTTGTCCTTAGAAACAGAATTTTGTTAGGTTTTCTCCAGAATTTGTTAGGTTGTTAGAGTAGTAGACTTGTATATATATGTGTAAATCATTCATCAAGAAGTAGAAGAATATTTTTCTCTCAATTTTCTTTATGCTATCAGAGTCATACCTGATCCAAGAAGAAATCAAACCCTGCCAAGCCGTAATCATAAATGGCCTCGGGTGAGCTTCCATCCTCTCCACCAGAAGTTTCCTCTGGTTCTTATCATCACACAGCAACAACCAGAGCTGTAAGTGAACTACCATCATCCTGTATCACAAGACATAAACTCGATGGCAGCAACTTCCTTCAATGGTCGTCGTCTGTCCGTCTCTTCATCCGCGGAAGGGGGCGTTATGGGCACCTCACTAGCAAGCTCATGCCTCCTCTAGCGTCCGATGCAAATGCACAAACCTGGGAGATTGAAGACAGTATGGTCATGTCCTGCCTCATTACCTCAATGATTCCTGAAATCGGAGAGAATTTCCTTCTCTACGAAACTGCTCACGAAATCTGGAAAGCAGCACAGGAACTCTACTCCAGCAAGCAAAAT